TTTGTCTTTATCTTTTTCCTAAAATAAAAACAGTATATAACAATATGTTTTTGTAAAAGAGAATATTTTGGATTTTTTGATTAGATTTTTGTTAACTTGAATTATATTCCAGGAAATATGTTTGAAGTAATTTCAGTCTTTTGCCAGGACATTTTAAAAAACTTAATTTCTTAATTGATTATTTTTTGTAAAGATTTTCTGAAATGAGTTGTAAAAGTTTAAGAATTTATTTATCAGCTAAAGAATTTTTTTTTAAGAGTTATAACCTATATATAAAAACTATTATTATTATTTAATATTGTGAATTTTATTTGAAAAACCTATAAGATTGAAAAATCTAACTTAGTGAATAAAAATAGATCCTTAAATTATTTAGCATATAAAATTTTGCAGATCAATTATATTTCTTTAAAAGAAACATAATTATTTATTTATTATTTTAATAGAAATATAATTCATAAAACACTTGGATCAAGTAGCCTAAATTATATAAAACTTTTATAAAGAGGTGTTTTTTTTTGACTTTATTTTTAAAAAAACTTTTTTAATAGTAAGAGACATTTGAATTATGTCTTTGCCTTTAATTTAGGAATTTATTTTTATTAGTAAAATTTGTAATAAAAATAAGTTGCCTGAAAAGATAGTTATTAAGTAAAAGGATTGTTAATATTTTGAAAGATTTTGTAAAAATGATATTTTTTTTTAGTTTTGATAAATTATTAATATATAGCATCTTGTTTTTTTTATAAGAATAGTATCTAATAGTATATTGCAATTCAGATTTGTTATTATTGTTTGAAGACTTAAATTATTGTAATTGAATTTTGTTCAGTTATAAATGCTTATTTCATATTATGGCATATAATTGTTTGAATACTGTTATTTACTGCTTGTTGTAACATGTGACAATTTATATATAATTGTTTGTTTATTAAGAAAATGTAAAGTTGTTTAATTGATATTAATATATTTGAAACTGATATAATTTATTATTAATATTGTTGATGTCTCTCTTGATAAGTCTGTCACTTCTCCAAAGTACTTTTCATGTAATGTCAAGTAAGTGTTTAGCTTTTCATCTTGAGATATATGATTTGTTTAGTCAAGTTTTATCAATTTTTTCCTTTTCTTTCTATTGTTTACTTCTTTTAGCAAATCTTTATCAATTTTCTCTTTATGGTTTCAACTATTCTATTTCACAACAAGTACTAAATTAAATAAGTTAATTAGAATTTATTTAGTTAGACAATAGTAATTATATGTCTTAATTAAGAAGTTTTTAATTTAAGAAATAATTTTTTATTATCATTGATTTTCTTTTTTTCTATACTATGGCTTTCTTCTTTTTTTCTTTTTCGATTTTTCTTTTTATTTTATCTATATATCTTTATTAAGCTATAATTATACCATATGTAAAGATGGATCCCTAAATTAAAGATGAAGACATAATTCAAATGTCCTTTATTATTAAAAAAATTTTTTTTAAATATAAGGTCAAAAAAAAAACTACTTACAAAGGTTTTTTGCAATTTAGAATACTTGATTCAAGTGTTTTTTTGAATTATATTTATATTAAAGTAATAAATAAATAATTATGTCCCTTCAAAAGGAACATAATTAATCTGTGAAATTTTATATGCTAAATACTTTAGGGATTCATCCTTAGCTATATAATATTTTTTAAACTTTAATAAACTATTTGTAATTAATAAGCTATTTAAGATTATAGTCAATTTAAACTTCTTTAAAATTACATCATGGTTTTATATATTACTATAAACTATAAGTTACTGATTATTATAAATTAGGATATGTAACATGCAGGAACATATTTGTGCAATCATGTTTTACATCTGTTTCCTATCAATAATATATTATAATATTGATATAATTTGTTATTAATATAATTTATTATTGTTGATATGTTTTAATACTAATATATTTGTTAATATATATATATATATTATTTACTTGTTTATTTATTGATTCTATTCTTTTTGAATATATGTTTATAATATATTGAATTTAGAAAAGATAAGTTAGTTTTGATTTTTATGTATTAAGAATATATACAATAGAATTTTTTTTTATCTTTATATAGTTAATAATAAGTCTGACATCCTTCTAGCTTAAGAAAAGTAATAATATTGTTTTATTTATTAAATGATATCTAATTTTTCTTGAGTTTCTATAGTGCTTAGAAGAGATATCTAACTTGATACATGCCTGATTATAGTGATAGCAAGGATGTTGACTTTCTGAGATCTTACTATAAATTAGAAAACTTAATTTTTATCTTTTTCTTTTATAAAAAAAATATAAATTGTTAATTATTTACTTATAATATTTATAAATTAATAAAGTTAATATTGTTAATATATTTGTAATATTATATTTAATAGAAATAATATTTTTGGGAATTTGAAATACTTTGATAAAAAAAACTTAATAAAGTTTTTCTTTTTTGAAAAAAATTTTTAATTAGAAAATTTAATAATAGATATAATTAAATTACATGTTATAAATGTTTATTAATTTAAAAAATATTTAAGTTTTATTAATAATGATTGATATAAATTTAATATATAATAATAATTTGAAATAAAAAAAATAATTTAAATAATTTTGATTAAGTCTATATACTATATATAAATTTATATATAAATTATCAAAAAAAAATATAAATTTTTAAAAAATAAATTATAAAATTACAAAAAAAAAATACTTTATAATATATTGATATTTATTTATTTATTTTTTATTAAATAATTAGTATATATTTTTTTATTTTTAATATTTAATTATAGTTAATCATTTAAAAAATCTAACAAAAAATTATTTTAACTTGGTTTTTTTAATTTTAAATTAATATTTTATAATAAATTCATCAATTAACTATTAATAAAACTTAGACATTATTATTATCATATTATAAAAAATATATATTTAAAGCTTTATATCAATTAAATAATTATTTATTAAATTATATTAAAAAATATTAGTCCAAAGACTTTTGTAATATATTATATATTATTTTATTAGAAAATATAATAATTACAACTTATAAATATTAAATATTTTTTCAAAAATAATATAATATATTTATAAAGAATCTCTATATAAGATATATTACTAGCAAAAATTATTAAAAAAACAAAAAGCTTAACTTTAAATTAAAAAAAAACAATTCTAATACAAATAATTTTGATTATATAGTAATTAATAGTATTATTCAAATATTTCAGATTCTATTTTTATTTAATTTATATTAAATATATCAAATTCAATAATAAGAGATTTAAAAAATACAAAATATGGTTTTATTAAACTACAAGATATACTTGAACTTTTGAACAATTCAATTTCTATAAAAAATAATTCAATTAAAATTTTTCTCAATATTGATAGAAAAATCAAATAGTTTGAAATAGATAATATATAATTTCAAGTTTTCTTTATATAAAATATAATGAATAATAATTTCAAAAACTTTTTTTTTGTATTATAAATAGGATAAAAAAAAGTTAATTCGTGATTTTTTAAACTAATATTTTTAAATTTCTATAATCACTAAGGATAAGAAAATTTGAATATTCAATATACATATATATATTATGTGAATTTATTTAACTTATGAAATTTATTTATTATATTCCAGATAGTAATTTTTATAGTTTACAAAAGTTTTAATTTGATATTTATAAATAAAAAAATTTTTTGTTTTTTTATCAAATCTTTTTTGTTATTTATTTTAGTTTTATATAAAAAAAATAATGTCAAGTCATTACATAACTTTTGCATGATTGAATAAAATTGTGCAAAGTTTTGATATATTATATATCAAGTTTCAATAAATATATGTTTAAAAATTATATAATATTTATTTATTCAATTTCAAGTTATTAAGTAAGAAAGATGAATAAAGGATAATTTAATTTAATACAACTATCATTAAATTTGATATAAAAAGTGATTCATCCGTGAAAAATTCATATTATATATTAAAAAAAAGAATTTGATTTTTTTTTCGAATTTATTATTACGTATTTTCATAGTTTGCGGACTATAATTGATTGGTGATAAAAGAGAATTGATAATGGTCATCATAATTGACTGTCATGATTTTGACATCCGAAAAACTACCGGTTCTTTCCACGTTTTCCCCAACCCCATACTTTTGCCAAAGGAGCGATCGTCCTCGGCTAAACCATATATGTACCCATGCGTGACCAAGACTGAACAATCACTCGTTTTATATCATAATTTCGACCATTGTTCCTAAGATTATATCGAAGTGTGACAAGCATTTTTTTTTTTTAGGAATACGTGGCGAGCACACTGGCTACTCAAAAATAACAGAACCGAATCTTTACCAGATGGCTTATAAAAAGATGTGTAAGAAACGGAACAAATTTATAATGGTTATATGAATAAATGAATGCATAATTGATTTACCACGATATTTTTAAGCAAGTTCATTAGTTTGTGTGTGCCAGGGTTTTTTGACATTTGCATTGTGTTCGGGGCTGTGTATGAAAAAGCTTTTCCGAAAGAAGGATTTAACTGATTAGTTGTCAGGAGGAACAAATACCTTCAAAGTTTCGGCGGGGTCGAATCGCTTTTGGAACATTCTTCGTGATTGTTGTATTGCGCGTGACCAATGTCAATCAAACCTTAAAGCAAGGTGACAAAAAAATAGAATTTAGGGAAGGTACCGGTCCCCTTTCATCAATTGCGAAGAGTACGGTGCTTAAAAGTGAATCATCATCCAATTGCCGGCTTCAAATCTAACATGTTTACCTCGAAAGGAGTCAACAAACGTCCGCCCAATATCGCGAAAAGACACACAGTATATCTGGGGGGGGATTAATTAGTGGACGTGTACATTGCATGAAGTAAGCCACTCCACATTAGGCCCCCTGGAAGCTTTTTTTGGATGCATACAGTTGTTTTTCTCTTGATCCCTTGCTTATTTGTTTTTACACATTTATTTTCGTGGGCTAAACTCCTGTTCCGCCATCATTCTTTTTGTTGGGGCATGTAAAAGATCGATCCACGTTTCGCGCCACACCCCATACCCCACGCCTACCTGCAACTTGTATAATCCACTATAATCCACATTTAAGTATTTTTTTTTTAAGAAAAAAAAAAAAACCAATAATAAATAAAAGTTTAATTTACCCTTCTTATTTTGTGTCATTCCCGAGACAGACATTTCTTCTTTCGTTCACGTAGATTGCTTTTTGTTGGGTTAATGCAAATCGTCGGAAACGATTAATACCTTGTCGGCTTTGATAATATTGTGGTCAATTGTGCAACGTGAAACATCTTGAATTCTCAGATTCTTTTTATCACCTTCCGTACCCTTCCTATTTGGAAATCTTGCCCGAATTGTACTTAATTGGAACATCATATACAGTATACAAGGGTTGGAAATCTGGGGATAAATATTTGGATAATATGACACGCTTTCTTTGCGCAATTAGCAGCGCAATTAAGCAGTCTTTCAAATTCATGATACTATGATCGCTTGAAGATGAGGAGGCGTAATCCTTTCTATTCTTTTGTTATTCTGGTAAATCCCTGAATTGGAAATCTCAGGTAAGCCCGTTTTTGCTTGTCTTTCCACGAGATTCTGCATATGGTAGTAACATAAAGCAATTGTTGACAACCAAATGACCAGATGACCAGGTACCATATCTTCAAGTCACCAATCGTGAAAGAGTCAATAAATTACCAAAACGTCATTTTCAAAGCGCGACAATTCTGTATCACACGAAGATCAGTTCTCTCTTTATTTCCTTTTGCAAACAAAAACAAGAATTTATACCGGGCTCGAATCAAGAATGCGAGCAATTTAACGATTCGGCAACTTGATGACGGATGGTGTTCGTCATCTATCGACAAGATTATTGGACTCTGGTCTAAACCAGTTTGACTAGCGCGCGAATCGTTTGTTTAATTTGACTCCGACCAAACATCATCAAAAAATAGTCTGTGCCCACCTGCGGACTCGTAGATAAGATAACGTTTGCGACATTGCATTGTTTACTATACTACAAAAAAAGAAATAAACATCCAAAATCAAGCCATTGGTCATTTCCTTGTTGGCCTGATTTAATTGATTATACTGGTGTGACGAGTGTGCGACATTAAAAAAAAGTCCGAGACGTGGATATTATGTCACATTGAATGACTGCAATCTCAATCTTCGAGATCCGGACATGGTAAAGTTTACAAGCGATCGTGGTATACACTTTGCACTGTACGTTCCGAAAAAAAATCAAATCAAATCACTTTTACTTTATTTAAAAATTGAGATTGTTTTTTAGATATTGTATCGTGCATGTATGTACTTAACATTCTGTAATCAACAATCGTACAGTGGTTTATAGTTGCTTTCTGTTCTTTCTTTGTCAACCACAAAAATCGATTCTCGTCCCGTATCCATCTGTAATCAATGAACAAAAAAAGTCCCTGAGGAACTCCAAAATCTCAGAATCAACGATTAGGCAATCTTATCACCTTATTGCCCCAGATTGGATTCCATATAACCTATTATGTCTGATGGGGGTGCGTCACCCCAAGGAGATGACACAATAGTCGTAAATAGAAATTGTTTAGAAATTGTTGCGAAATCAAATGTCCCGTGATATGACGTCATTCCACAAACCTGGTGAAGATCGTTTCTCTGATATCGGCGAGAAACGATGCGTTCGCACATTGAGATGGGTAAAAATTATGTAATAAAATGAACTTCAATTCAGCTCTTGTAAACACGCCTAACCATTTTCGCGGAACGCAGAGATTCACATCGATCATCCCGCGCGAATAGTGACTTATTAACGGCGAATGCCGAACTCGTTTCCTCCAATACCGAGGTTTGCTTCGTCCTCGCGTGGCCGAGAGTTCATTTTGTTTACTTTGTATTGTGTGCAACCAAATATCTTATCTCACGCTATCCATCTATCGACAATATGCAGAAAGTTACAGTACCGTACATCATAGAATGTGTGTAGATAAGAAGTTTACACCGAACGGATCAAAGCTTACCACTTAACGAGATTGGTAAAGAATAAGGATTGTCGGCCGCTTGCACTTTAAAGTAACCTTGTCTCATTATATTCCATAATATGCCTAATCACCATCTCAGCCTTTGCGATCCTCAAATGGACAACAACAACCACGAATTCTCCTCGCTTCTAACCAGTTCAAGATTACAATGTTGTCCCTCGTGAGTATATTTTCAAAAATGAAAGTGATCGGACATTGAAAGACGGCGCGGGCTTTCATGTTGACGCTAGTCCAAACAAAGTATCCAAAATGCGCAGCCGGAGTTGAATTTCGATATAAAGGATCACATTGATAGGCGGAAATGACGTTGTTGTTATAAAAAAGCAAATCATGCACAGAATACAGAATAGGAAAATGGTCACGTATTCATTATTTGGCGCGAAACTTTAAATAAAAAGGGTTAGACCGTTCTTTGTCATAATAAACTGTATTTCTGTAGGGTTATTGCCGAGCTGGACACACAGGAAATTGAATTAATAATTATTGAAAAACTAGTGTTTGCGAGTTTGAGTATTTGGAGGCGCTTTTTTTTTTTTTTTTCGGAACTTACTTTGACTTTCCGGAATATAACCATATGAAGGTAGGCATAAAGAGCAGAGGGTAAATGGTTTTCTAAAAAGAAAGAAATGATCGATCTCGGATTTCTTCAGAGATTCACAGATTAATGTGAGAGTGATGCATGTTAAAATGACCCTGAAATTTGATAGCATTAGATAGGAACTGTATGATATGACAGACATGAGAAATCACGTTGAGGGGAAGTTCACACGACTGCTAATGACATTTACATTTCACTCGACATCATTTGACAAATTGCAGACAAAACTTTTTGGATGAACCACACACACCTTTTTGTGAGATGTATGTCAAAAGATCAACTTTCGTGATCTTTTTTCTATTAGGACGAACCTTTACTTTTTTTTTTTTTTTGTGATTACATTTGAATTACCGACAATAATAAATATGAGATGTTATTAAAAGAAATTTTCAAGAAAAAAAAAAAAATTGTAAAAAAAAAAATGTGCGCACGTTTGGCGGCGGGGACTCCCCAAACGAAACAATGAATACAAAAATTTGAAGGACATCAATCATTAGAGGACCAATGTGATTAAGAGCTGAAAAACTACGTGAAAGAAATTTTCTAAAAAAAGAAACCGATGGCTTCTTTGTTTACACCGTTTTTTTTCTAACAACGTCCCAAACATTGTCGCTCGCACAAAAAGAAAAAGAACAATCGCATTGAACTACATTGAACGTGACAACGTCCAAAATTTGAAACTATCAAACTGTTGTGTTTGTGATGTGTGAACGGGATAAAGGTGGAATAATAATGAGCATCGTCAGAAAAAAAGAAGAGGAAATTCGAAATCAAGTGTAATGTGTGATCGGTACTGTCTACTAGCTTAGGTCGGAATTATCTTTTTGGATTTTGCCATAGGTCGGAAGGTGAAGGGGGAAGAAAGGATTTGCCATATTCAGATTTTGCCAATTAAAGAAACGAAGGTAACCATCTTAGATTTTTGCTTAGATTTGTAAGAGGAAGATTTAATCTTAATGTTGAAATGGTGGATGTAAAAAAAAAAGGAAATCCTTTTTTTTTTACGCATAGATAAGAAACGAAGGAATGTCGTAAAGAATTAAAGTGGACATAATTCTTTCTCCAATTACGGTTGGTTCAAGGAGAAGTGATAATTGGATTCCCTCAACTTCGTTTCCGTGATTCTGTGTGTGCAACGGAGAGCAAGCTGATGTTCCTGCTGCTACTGCCGATGATGAATGAGATGATAGTTTGAAATTTTGCCAATTGTCAATGTAGATAATGCGAATTTGTGCGGTATGGGGAACGATGTCGTGCCATCGTAGGGTTTGTCGAGTGGCGGTGAGTAGTATAACAATTGTTGTCGAATAACAATCATTGATACCCTTCAAATCCACGTGCGATTCGTTAAAAGTGTGTGGTGAGATGCGAATGTGTGTTTGTGCTTTTTTTTTCGAATGTGTTTGTGTGTGAGACAAATGATGTTTTTTTTGTTTTTAGAAAGATATTAAATTTACAGGCCGTTCGGGTCTTCGCTCCTCTCCCATTACGAGAAACGAGAAAGGCTCGAGAGATCCATTACGATGCATTAAAATCTAAGGATACAATCTATGAAAAAAGAAATGTGATAATATATATATAGTAATAATATAATATATATATATATTGTATATATATATATATATAATAATGTGTTATATATAATGTGATGGTGGGGGGGTAGAAGTGTCCATTGAAATAATAAAGTTCTTGCCAAAAGACCTTTTTTTTTTTTTTTTTTAAACAAAAACAAGAACGTATATGATTCCTTGTGCACGAATAAACATTGATGTGAAAATGCAGAAATGAGAAAGTTATTCGGCTACTCAAAAACATCCGACTTTTGAATCAGAACGGGTTCATCATCCAAAGGAGCTGGTGGAGGACGGGAGACCAACTTGTAAGTGGGTTGACCTTCCTTGGTCATTCCTGTGCGTTCGGCCAAAAGTACGATGTCATTACACTCAAGCGTGTAAAGATTTCGTACTGAATGACGTCTGTTTGATGAAGTTTGCGAGGGGTCCGACATGACGGTCAAAGACTTTCGCAAAGAAGGTTGTTTCTTTAAGGACAAGGAATTCTGACAGGCAGGGCTTTCCCTAAGAAGTTGTCTGTTGTTTACGGCCAAGCGGAAATGACCAAGACCGTGAATTCTGGTCTCTAATTCGCGAAGACGTTCCATGTTATCATAAGTACGCTTCTGTTCGTCGACGTCATTGAGAACATCGTCAAGTTTTGTCTTTAGGGATACCGTGTTTTCGTAGTCGAAACCTTCCTTATCGGTATACTTTAGTAGATTGGAGATGAGAAGAGGATACTTGAGCAGACGCTGGAATGGTTTGAGAAGGTAGGTGGACAGAGGCATGTTTCGGAAGGATGCCAACTTTTGTTGTTTCCTAACGAGACGGCCAAGCTTGTCCTTCTTTCGGATGCATTCGTCCAATTCCCTGAGGGCTTCCTCATAGTGAATTAGGTAAGGAGCATAGGCACGGAATACCCACACGTAGGCCAGGAGGATATCAGAGATGCTTCGTACCAATGGTGATTGATCTTCTTGACGCTCATTCAAGCAATTGCTGATGACTTCGTGGATGAACAGGAAGTATGAGATTGAGTTGAAAACTTTGTTTAGATTTTCTGGGACCACAATCTTGTTGGATTTTGTTTCGGCCTTCTTTATTGGTTGAATAAAGTATTCTTCGATCAGGCGTAAGTCACGGACATATCTATCAGAAAGAGACAAAATGGTTAGTGATGATCATTATTGGTGTGACAATGTGACATCGGAGATAATCGTGATATTATCAGAAGGGAATTGTGAAAACGTTTTTTTGTTGCAAGTATTGAAAGTGGGGGGGGGGGGAACAGAAAGAGAAGAAAAAAGGAAAAGGAAAAGGAAAAGAAAAAAGAAAACGAATAGGAAACAGAATGGAGAATGGAAAAGAGGACGGAAATAACAGAAATAATAATAATAAAAACAAAAAGATGATGGAAAGGAAGAGTTCGTAGGGAATGTAGAATAATAATATAAAAAAAGAAAGAAAGAAAACACGTACTCATGCTCCGTTTTGATAATTTCAAAGAGAACTTCTTGTCGGTTAAGCTCCTTGGGTGATAAGTTTGAGACGAGATCGATGTCAACAGTATCGGACCAGATTGTGTTTCGCCTACAACCATTATCGGTGCGATGGACAATAGTCTGTCTACTTATGCTAAGACTCTTCTTTGACAGTGTGACAGGAGTTGTGGATGGTGTAGTGGTTTTTGTTGGTGCAGCTACGTGAGCATTCTGAAGAGTTGAATCTTTTGCTGGGGCAGTCTTTGCCGTATTGTTGAAGAGTGGAAAATGAAATTTCTTTAATTTGAAGGATGACTTCGTTGTCGTGTGGTGGGTTTGTTGTTGTGATGTCTGTTCTGACTTTATGTCTCGACTTCTTCGTGAGAACATGTTGCCAATAATGTGAATGTTAGTTTCCTAATAAGTTACCTTGGAAAACCCTTTTTTGAGATAGTGAGCGAAAAGAAATTTTTTTTTGCCTTTTCACTTTTTGGCGGATGTTGGCGTTTATATAATTCTTGGGTCAATTGTAAACAATTTATTTTAAAACATTTATACAGTACACAAATGAGTTAATTATCTTTAGTCTTATCAGAACCAATGCAACTAGCGAATACAGGTTATTTATTTTATATCGTATGCACTATATATATCATATACAGTATGTATTGAAAGCGGTCATTATATGAGAAATTGTGCATATTTAATTTTTTCCTTTCTCTCTTTTTTTTTTATATGTATATGCATACGGTATTTAATGTGTGCGTGCATATTAAAAAAAAAAAAAAAAAAAAAAATTTTTTTTTTTTTTTTTTTTTTGTAGCGTAGTTTTGGTTTTTTTGGATTGGGCGCGAATTTTGAGTCTGTCAATGTAACAACATACTGCTAATTTTGCTGTACTGTATCCACCATATTGATAGTACCAATTTATATGATGTGTCACCACAGAGCAAGAAGGCCCAATGACCAATCAGACCAGATTTGACCATAATTCACCATCATACTCGGAGCAAAAAACTCTATTAGGGTTATAATTAAATATGCGTGTTTACAGTATGTTTCTGATACAGCGCATTGACATTCGGAATGCAATTTTAGAGTTGATGTGTCAAAATTGATCCGATGAGCTGACGGACCTACCTTGGTCGACGATTGTCAAATGATCGTTCATAGAAATTTGGGGAGGTTATACAACCATCCCGAAGAAAAATCATGAAACGCAAAACAAATTGTTGTAATCGAGAGGTAACATTAATGTGAGAATGTTTGAATTTGCGCTACGCTAAAATTTTACATGGCATCTTTGTTGTTGTCATCACCAAAAATTCATAAACAGGACGTAATCGTCGGTGGTGAGCGGGATGGTTTGATTATACTAGCCCCTAGTTTGAATCATGCCTCCCTTTTCGGGAAATTTTCCAAATCTTAACACATAATGTTTTCAAGCAAATGTTTCTTGTGGTAAATTGACAACAGATTAATTAATGCACAGGTCATACTGGGGCTCATTGGTTTTGTGATATTTTTATCTTTGATTAGATTAGTCGCTTTATGATGACATGAAAAAAAAAAAAAAAAAATTAATTGATAATTTTTTTTCCTCAGATTAGCCGTTTTATCTTTGATTGCGATTGTTGGTCCTTTAAAAAAAATTCCCTAATTTCGGTGTCAACATCGGTTAGCTCATATTCTGACATCGCATATTCTTGGCATAAATTCCGATGGTCTAGGCTGCATTGGATGTATCAAAGAAATGAATTCTAGAGTCCTTGAATCATTCGTTACCGGATGAGAAACCGTTTGAGGTTATCATCGGAATTTATGAAAGTGTCAGAACTAGCGACGAAGCACGTTTCGTCAAGTGTTCTGGGTTTTGCTGCGTACCAGAATCGGAATTATCTACCGGCGCAGTCATTAGCCCTTTGTGTGTCAAGAAAAATTATGCTTGCGTGGATAATTTGACAAACACGAACCATTCTCCTTTGGGATGCTAAAAAAACAACATCATACTACATTCGGGGAAATCTTCCCGCCCGCATGTCCTAATGAAGAGCCAGGTTGGGAAATCGGAATTTTACCAGGGCGCACGTATGTGATTTGCACATGACTTACATTATTACCTATGTTAATTTTTCTAGTTGTAAACATAGAATCTAATTTTTCAATGCTCATGCATCATTGGCTATTTCCTATTTTACTCGATCCATTATTTGACAATTTGCATCTGATCGACTTTAGCAGAGAACATGGAAATCACTTGATCCAAATATTTCGATAACAAATAAATGTCTTATGACAGAATTCAATATTGCACGCACCACACAATACATAACCTATTATCTATGAGAGTCCAATTCACGCATTCCTGGCCACAATCCGATGAGTCCCATCATTTCGCGGACATCTTCCCAAACCTTTCTCGTTCATTTGTGACGACTCGATCGATCGGTTCAATAATGCCATGTACGGTATTGATAATATAAAACCAACAATGAATTATGATGAACAATACTTTCTCACAAAATTGCATGTATGTGGAGAAGAACAACGTGCGAGGTCGGGAGGTGCCCAAACACGAAAATACTCCCTTCCCGTGATTGATGCCTATTGTCATTACGAAACTTTTAATGGTCAACAAATAGCTCCATAATAAAAACCCATAATAAAAACAAGAAATTTTTATTTATTTATTTATTTTTACTATTCTTTTTTTTTTTTTGATATCTGTAAACAAACACAGTGCACCACTGCCAAAGGAAAGGAAAAGTAAATCGTGAATCTCGGCCATCAAGTGATCACTCTAGCAAAACCTGTTTCTAAAAAAATTACTAGCAGCCCGAACTATGTTGAATCTAATTTACAATGATGTGTTATCATCACATTGGATCAAATGAAAATCCCAACCTCATCATCATAGCACAGCGCACCAACCAATGATTGCGCGTGTGTGACAACGCACGGTTCTTTTTTTGGATTCTCATAAACAATAATAAAATTCACGCACCCAACCAATCGTCAGGTATTATTATGCTCAAATGTCTCAATATTCCAAAATTATTATTAGCCAAGCACATTATGCCAAATTACGTTATCAACCAATACATTATGACAAATTTTGGAATTTACAGCGGTCACCACGATTATCCACTAAAGGTGTGCCATACAAACAAGAGATGACTTTATGCGCGCGTATAGGATTTCCCATTATTCGATATGCGCATGTGCAATTCGTAATGTAATCTGACCACCAGTTAAATTGCCTCAGGGAAAGAAATTGTTGTTAATCTTTTTTGCCTTGCGGTCACACCAATATTACCTAGTTCAATGTCGAAATTTCCTTTTTTTGTCACAATTTTTAGCACCTTTTTTCCCCAAAGTCTTATGCTCATTCTGATTATAATCACCATTTTGGCAATTATTATCTTTCTATTGCCATCGATGTGGAAACTGTGGAGATGCATAACATGATAAACGAAGTTCGGACATAACAAGATCTCCGATGACTTCTTCTCTCGTTAGCTAAATGGTACCACCTTCTAGCATCCTTTTTGCAATCATTTATTGTCTTATTGTTCTTTTTGTTTTGCTTTGTGAGATGTTGTCGAGACAGAGAGAATAATTCCTACAAGAAACCTCTGTCATAAGGTAGGCTACAATGTATATGCACTTTTAAATGCTAATTAAAATGTACTTACTGTATGTTGTACGGTTAATATTAAGGATCTTCGGGAATTACAATTTTCCGAAACAGTTGCTATCACGTATGCTGTGGACGGACGACGTGTGTCAGACGTTCATGTTGTATTGCATGCACATTCTACATCCCCGTCAATTGACGGTCTCTCACACCTCCCTCAATCAAATGTTTGTCGACAAGAGAAAAAAAACGGGAGACAAAAGAAGGGTGTATGCATGGTGTTTTATATGCATCTCTATGTTACGTGGAGAACTCGCTTTGAGATGAGATTTCCTTGTGCAGATGTCTTCTCGTTCTCAAGATAAATGATTTGTACGTACCGTAGGCATGCTGCGTGTACGAATTACAAATTGATGATGATATCAGGAGTCAAACAAGAATAATAAGCTCGAAAACAATTTTCTTTATTGTTCGCCTGCGTAGCACATCATCTTGCATCCACGATAATGGTAAAGAGAGTGATCGCGCATAAAAGAACCTTGACATACTGTAAAACGTGAAATAACGATTACCATTTGTTTCGTGATGGGAAAAATGCAAATGAGCGGTTCTCTGATTGGTGGCGAAAATGTGAGTTCGAGACATTATGTTTTTCAACGTCAACAATAAGCAAGATCAAGGGAGTTCGACAGACTTTGATAATGAAATGGGGTGTACATGAATGTGCTTTGCCTTCTACTGGTTTTACACAGATCCGAGTGATATGATGCGCCTGGTACGCTAATGATCCATTGGTACATTGCAGCACTTAAATCGCGTACCTTGTTATTGTCGTGATTTGTTGTCGTCACCATTGTTAAATCTTGATGAAACGTTAAAACGCGAATTGATTAACGATCGCATCCATGAAGATGCGCTCTCGTTGGTTGATCAGGTGTGAACAATTTGACGCCACGAATGGTGAATGAAGATCCGAACGCTACCTAAAACATTGACACACAAATTCATCAGAGAATTCATAAGTATTCACGCACGCACACACCAAAAACCCTTGTTGTCTATTGCGTCCGTATGCTACCGTTTTCAGTCGGTTTCACTGTTACATACAGTACACACGGTTTGTAACATATTCTTGCAACCCAAATAAGGATAAATTGAGTTCACCACCGTCAGTTACCTCAAGACCATTGTATTTTTTATCAATTTGCATGCCTCATACCTTCCTTATCTTTCTCACAAAAAAAATGCAGACAAATTTTTCAAGGAGTGATGGTCTCAGCTCCATGGTATGAGCGATCCCACAAAAGATAACGACAGCAGTCGCCATAAAGTCACTTTTGGAAATTCATCTTCCAATTTCGGAAATTTTATTGTCATAACCACAATGGATAGGTTTTTTGGTGTCAAAGATGATCAAGAACAATTACATCATGTTGATCCATTTTCCAAAGTTCCTCAATTGGACTTGAGAGTTTCCTTCTTGAAAAAAAGGAAAATACAAGTCGGATATTTACTCCACAAGGATGTACATGCGCATATACAACTTGATTTATAATCGGCATTCATCAATCACGGATTAATTGATCGTTTATTGTTTCATTCAATTCGGTTCGGTTTACCGACGTTGTCAAATCGATGAATGAACCTTGTCATGTCTTTGTGTCAACAATCACCCGTTTTACAGTTTCAGGAATTTTTGTTTAGTATTATTCTTTGGTTTTGGTAAATGATAAGATTAAAGCTGGTCGAATGTGTAAAAATAGATTTAATTTATCCTTACCCAAATACTGCACAACCGAGCACAACTCCTACGTATGCATATTAATGCCTAATGCGTGTCAATAGAACTGGACGCATCTCTTATTTCCTATATCTGGGATAATTGCATGTAAATTGTCCTATCGCCACCCTACAATTATTATTACGCATTAAACCATGACAAGAGGTTAAGAAGATGGTCTTTGTCACAGACGAGTCTCACTTCCAGAGTGTTTGACACCGATAGAGGAAAAGAAGAGCGAGAATTCAGTACAAATAGAGCATCCGGGAGCTTTCGGTTTTTGTTTTTTTTTTCAGGTGAAAAAATTTAAGGTTCTCAGAGTGACGCTACCTTCTGCCGATTTTGGATCCATAGTCGTCATTAGGTGAGTACGTAGGTGAGTACGTAATCCTGGGCCAAAATAATGATAGATTGTTTACGATAAACAACAATATTCGTAAATTTCTTTTTAGAGATTAAATAATGGATTAAACTTTTTAAAGTTTAGAAAAGAAATGCCTAAATGGATATTTTTTTATTTCTATTTACAAGTCTATTATGTGCAGATTCCTAGCACAGGTGCCAGCTGAGTACAAGAAATGTCCAAAAATAGCTCTATTCGGATTTCGTAACTAAGATTAACTTTACTTTTAAAAATGCTCCATCCTTCCTTATATGGCCAGTGTTTTATAATTCCCGATAAATCCTAATAGCCATTTTCAATCTTTTTCATATCTTAATCGATGATCGTGGCCGCAGAAAAATTTAAGGTTTTTTTTTTTTTGAGAAAAAAATTTTTTTTTCTCACTGTTCCTTTTTTGTTACAATTGATAAATTTAAATAACGTGCCATGTTAATTAATTGATGATGGAATTTAAGAACCTCCTGTGAATTGATTTATTTCAACGTTCTATCTATCTATCGACACATCTTTTTGTGCACTCTGCGCGCCACCAACTTTTCGGAATTAACTCTGTGTTCACGAAAAGATCAAATCAAAGAACCGTCACATTATCGACGAACAAATAGACGGTTCACTGCAGTGGAGAAAACACGAAATTTCCGAATTTCCCTAAAAACGACAATAAACACGAAATTGGTGTTCATTCATTCATTATCAAGCAGATTAATTCACAAGCACAAACTATTAATTGCTAAATATTGGAGCCTGCGGAATCGGATAGTGTCATTTTAAGATCACGCACGTTCGTTCAACCGTAATTCATTATCCCTATGACTCAATAAATTCTGCAGAAGCTAAAACGCACAACAGAATAATGCAGTTGAAACCTTTGGAGATAAGGAAAGGTGGTATAAAAGATTTCTAATTTAAGAATGTCTCCGCTCAATTCACTCGATCAGCCAAACTTCTTTTTTCTTTTCGCAGATTAAGTTTATCATAAACTGTATGATCCCAATTGGCCCTACGGTTACGGCGCCCATCTTTTGAGTTTGATGTTACTTAAAACGCCTAATGCTTTCCTTAATTTATAAAAAAAAAAATTTTTTTTCTTCCATTGTTAGGTGATCAATGTAGAGACGAGACTATGCATTATCATGTTATCTTCTTTACAAGATTTTTTGAACAATGAAGTTCTACAGGTCATTTGTTTCGATTCTAGAGTGTGACACCGTATATTACAATATTTATTATAAATGACATGTTCATGTACACAATATATGGATGTATATATTTCATTGTGAAATATGTGATCCATGAAATTTTACAAAATTCGTGCATTTTCCTGTAGTTGAACGGATGATAACGAAGGCGCACAAAAAAAAAACCTATGCTCGACGCGCATTCAAAACAATGTTAAGGATTTTAATCGACAAAGAAAAAACGTCTCTCGGGCGTCGTGTTTTCAATAAGGTTTTTTGCTTTTTAAAAAATAGCGAAGCGACATGTGCAAAAGGTAACTAATACACAAAAACAGGAATAGAAGGTCGTAACAATTCCTATCAGGTGATTACGTATGTCCTAACAGGTAAGCATAATAAAATTTAATTTATGATGCACACAAACATTTGATTGTTGTAATGAGTTTCATAATACATACAACGTGCATGCATGTGCTTTCTTACGTAATCACACTTTCAAATTTTCAGCATACCCTCCAACCGTTAACGAAATCAACATCTTGAATGTGAGAACTCTCTGTATATGCGGCTTTGAGAAGTCAATGCACTTTACATTTGCCAGAGTCAAGTTTCAATAACGCAATACAATTTAATCTCGATTAGACTTCGCTCTTTTGTTTACCACACGTGAAATTGTATTGCGCTGTGTCGAATGCCTCAATCTGTGGAGTAAATGAACGACTGTTTTGGTGGACTTTCGTAATTCGGTATATCATCATTGTCTTGTCTTGATTGTTACCATCGAATTCATGCTATTTCTAAATTTTGAAACCAACTATTAACTACCATATTAAATTTAATTTATCAACTGTATACAACAATGTTTTAAATTTTAAATTGCAGTTAAACAATTTAGACGATAAAAAATAAAATCCTACGCTGCATCACGCACAGTACATCGACATAACATGATTCAACTGAAAATTAATGTCGAACCTTAAAAAATAAGAAATAATCATCATCTCGTTTGAAGGGTTGCATCCTCTCCTGAATATATTTGCACTTCATTACATGTTGAACCTTTTTACTTTTTTATTTATTTGCATCACTTACAATATATTCGTTAAATACCGTAACACACATATTCTCGTAAAAAAATTATTGATGAATAAAAAAAGATTATGTGTAATATAAAAATTTTTTTAAAGTGTTATATAAAATTAAAATAATAATATTTAATATGCACACCCGTTTATCGTAAAACTTTTATCATAATATATGATATTCACGTTTGGTGTCTGAAAAAACATACAATTCACCGCTACACGAATATCTAATAAAAGCGGGGTTAAGGATTAACCGCACCTTTCTATAGTTATCGGATAATATAGAAAATAACGATTTGTAAAAAAAATAAATATGCGTGATACAAATCAAATTAATTAGATTCAGAACAATATAACTAGCATATTTTAGATATCCTTTGGATTCTATTGAGTTTTAACAAAGCAACTGCTTTGTGTATTTTATAATTTTCTCTAAACTCTCTTTCTATTAATTGGACATTTATCATAATGGCAAGCCAAACATATGTGAATTGGTTTATCTTTAAGATATCAAATTACTTTGGAATAATTTTTATACTATTTTATACACGAGATTTAATTAGGAACGAAAATTTATTTCCGATTTGTACTTTATCTATTATATACTTCATATTTAATATATATATGTATTCTTAATTAATTACAATTTGAAAATCTTTAATTTAAATACAATAATACAACAAATTATTGTATTATAGCTAAACCTTGTACTAATTGCAATATCGTTATTAATAAAGCAATAGAGTTACACGTCATGTTGTTTATATATTCAATTGTTACTAACTATTTTACTAATAAAAAATAGATTTGTTATGTAATATCAATTATCTAAAACTGTTTAAACCTTTTTATTTACTTGTTAAATATAATAATATTATTAATAATAAACTTTTTGTTTTTTTATAATATGAAAGTAAAACATATCTTATGATTTATAATTTTCATTAATAAAGTAAATAATATGATAGTTTATATAAATAACTGATTACCAATTAATTTTTATTAAAAATATATATACTGTATATATAAATTTAAAAATTAAAAATTAATTTTAACAAATTATTTAAATAATAAATATTTCTAAATTTTATTGATATTTTGTAATTAGAACCAATATTTTTAAAAAATTATATATTGTATATAATATATATATGATTTTTATATTTGTTAATAAAATTAATTTCTACTTGAATTTGTATAAATACAAGTATTCAATATTTAAATTATATAAAATTTTTTAAAAAATAAACATTTGTTATTTAAATATTAATTAATTAAAAATTTTTTTTGTTTTTATTAATTTTGCAAATTATAAATAATTGTCAAATAAATAATTATTCTATAATTATTAAAACAATACATATATAGTAATTAATTTATAAAAAAATATTATATTTTAACAAGATAATGATTTTAAACATAAGTTAAAATTGATATTAAAATTGATTAATAGTGACAATATTATTATATTTAATTGATCTGTATAGTTAACTGATCTTAATCCAATGAAATATTTGTAGAATGAAATAAAAATTAGAATTCAAAAATCATCATTTTAAACAAAAAATAAAAAAATTTTTGAAATAAAATATAAAATATTTGAAATAATATAAATATTAATACTAATACTTATATTAAACTTATAAAAACAATATTAATTAAAGCTAAAAATATATATATTTAATGGTAAAATTTATATATTTATTGAAAAAATTTTATTATATATAATTTTATTTGTTATTTAAATCAATTACAACAATTTGAATTAATATTTATATACTGACCTGAGTATTTCTAATTATTTTCAAGAATAGTTTCTCTATTTTTTATACTATTTTTTTTTAATAATTATATGTAAGCATCATAAGTTAACAAATCTTGTTTCAATTATTTTGATTAATATTTTATATTTTTGTTTTTTCAATTCCTTCTTGTTATTTTTTAATTGTAATAATTGTTTTTTTTTATAAGGTTTTAAGAAAAATTATAAGTTACTCTTTCAGTTGGTAAAACTTTATACTATGTAAAATACTTTTGAACCAGCAAAATAAAATATTACTTGAATAATAAAATTAAATATTACTAATTTAATTATTAAATATTTAAATAATAAATATAATTATTTGCAATTTTCAATAATATTTTATATTTAGCAATATAAAAATTATCTCTATTAAAATTATTTTCAGGATATGTAAATATTAAATTATTTTTATATTGTATTTCTTATATATAACAGGCAATAATTGCATAATTCAAAAAATTATTATTGATATATATGAATTTTACAAATCTCTAGGCTGCAAAAGTCTTATACAAATCAAGAAAATAATTAAGTTTTATTTTTTTATTAGCTAACTTAATAACAAATCTTTTATTAATAATTTTATACTTGTTGCCATTAAGTCTTGACAAGTCATATTCAAATAATTTATTATTTATACTAAATATAACATTAAGAAAGAAAAAGTCTATTACATAATTAAAAAGCCATTTATTAATAATTACTATTTTTTTCTTGTACAAATATTACTTCTATATATTATAAAGATTTTTTAATATATTGAAAATATAGATAAAAATTTTATAATTTCAAGTTGCAAAATATCTGAATTAAATATAAATAAATAAATATAAAAAGAAAAAAATCAAACAAAAAATTAAATATATATATATCCAGCAACTATTTTTATTTCTTGATTTAATTTAACAATTTTTTTCAATTATACAACTTTGCACTAAATATTTATTATTTTTTAAATTATTTCTTGCAAACATCAATATCTATACAATTATAATAAATTGTTAAAATAACTTTTTTTATTATATTGTTTCAAAATATTATTTTCTTATTTTTATTAACAATTTTTGTTAGCAACAATAATACTTTAAAAGCAAAAACTAAAGAAGAAAAAGAATTAGTTTTCTTATAAATTCAAATATTTTTTATCTTATAAAAATACAAATTATACAAGGGATTAATATACTTTACAAGCACATCCCTAGCATTTTGTATTAATTAAAAAGTTAACAAATTTGATTATATCTATAAAAGAAGTATTAAAATTTATAAAAACAAATATTGTTATAATTATACATATTGCTAAAAATTTTAAATTTTTAATGCAATTGATACAATTATTTGATACAATTAATTGAATCATTATTAAAATATATAAATAATTGAAGATAAAAATCCTCACGTGTATCACACCTTAGCTCTTAAAATATATATATATAATTAAAGTATAATATAATTATTTTTGAGCATTTTTGAAATTAAATTAACAACAAATAATTTATATTACATGTATAGTTGTAACAATATACTTATAAAATTTATTTGTTTATTTATTTGTATTTTAAAGAATTTTTTCTCTAATTTTTTTTTACTGTATTATAAACTGTTAACAAAATTTCTTTATTATTTATAAGTATAAATTTAATAAAAAATATTAATATTTTAAAATATAAATTATAAAGCTTATAGAATCAAAAAAATCTTCAAAACTAAAATTACTGCTATTTCATATTATGGAAAGTATATTAACAGGATTTTTAAGAAATTGTTAATATTTATTAATACCAGTGATCTTGAATTTGAACAAAAATTTTGCAATATTAAAACTTGTTCCATATTAAACCAGAGTTGCTCACAGATTGCAGTCTTGAAAGTTTTAACATATATTATATTACTTTATACTATACCACTGATTCAGTTTTCCAGCATATTATTAATTCATTTATTTAAGCTGCTATACAGTATATCAAGCAGCTATAGCTAGTGTTTGCTTGTTTTGCATTAAATCAGGATTGTCTATTAGTTATAGTCTTAATATTTAATCTTATACTGTTACAAGCCTTGATGTATATCAAAAGTTTGATTTTATATTAAATTAGAATTGTTCACTAGTTACAGTTTCAATTAAGAAAGTAATAATA